TTCTATAAACACATTTTGTTGCTAAAACAAATTCTTTTTTTTTGTTTCCGAAAGATAGAAATTATGTTTATGTTTCCTCCCAAATGCTATTTTATAGGATAAATATGCTTGTTTATACAAGTTAAAGTTTTTACCTCAGTATTAAACCCAGGAAGGAACATGTCAAATATTGTAGCTTGCCAATTCTTCATTTTTTTTTAACAGTTGCGTTTATTGAAGATGTACAGTGGTACAGAAGCTTGCCAATTCTTAGGATGTCGTGGCTGCATTCGTTTTCTTATATAGGCTTACAATATGCATTACAGTGCAGAGTATACATACAGTAGTACACAATTCATCCAGCCATCAAATACAGCAATGGTAATGATTCATAATACAACTCCCACAATACATGGTTACCACTTTAAAAGCAATCTTGCACATCAGCATGGCATAGTAGGTATGGTGCCTCCTAGAGAGCTGCAACTGCATTGCCATTACAGAATCAGTTAGGCATCGCTTATAACAAGTAGTCTTATCACTACAAATATCTGGGCATCAGCAAAGTCTATAGGTGCCAATCCTGGGGTATTCAACCACCCTCCCCAAACTTTGTCAAATTTGGCCTGACAAGCCCTATGTTGGTATATCAGTCTTTCATAACGTCAGATTACCCCCATATGTTCAATCCAAGCTTGTGGTGTAGGAGGAGTTGGGGTCTTCCAATGAATTAGGACCGGTTTGCGTGCCTGAAATAGGGATTTTAGAGACTGCTTCCCTTATATGTTGGTCACTAACGTCCTCACCAATAATTCCTAGAATACATTGCTTTGGATCCAAAGCAATCTCAGTTTGTAAAGCCAGGTTAATAGTAGTGATCACTGTGTCCTAATATCTATGTAATTTAGGGCAACGCCAAATCATATGCATCAGGTTCCCATGGTTTCCTTCTATATTTGCAACAAATCAGGTCTTGTTGGAGCCCCATTATATACAGCTTAAGAAGGGTATAGTATACCCTCAGCAAAAGGTACAGTTGTGATAGCCTCTGGGATAAATAAAGCAAGCTGGAGCACACTGACTCTATGGCTTCCTCCCACTGATCACCAATCAGCTCTCTTACATCCCCCTCTGATTTAGCCAGAGCTCTACAGGGGTAATTGTCCTAATATGTAGTCAGTAGCATGACATAACAGCTAGAGATAAAACCCCTTGTTGTGGCTGATTGTGGCATCATGGCAAAAATAGGAGTAAAAGATAGGTGCATGGCACCAAAGTTGATTTGGGCCTTCATTGCATGTTGGAGCTATGCCTATAGTAAGAGACAAACCATTTAACACAAACAGTGGTGCTTACAATGGTCTGTCTTTATTCATTTAAGTAAATCCTTTATCCAAAAAGAAAAAAAAACTGTTGATATTTAAAAAGTGTTAGCTGAAGTCTAACTTCGATTTGTTAGACAACTCCAAGTGTTTTCTGGGGGGGGTCAGCTCACTGAGCTGCATTTTTACCGTTCCCCCCACCTTCTGCCCCTTGAAAGGAGGGGTGGGTGGAAGGAAGGAAGAGGTGGATGGAAGGAAGGAAGGGAAGGGTGGAAGGAAAGAAGGGAGGGGTGGAGGGAAGGAAGGAGTGGATGAAAGGCAGGGAGGGGTGGGTGGAAGGAAGGAAGGAAGGGAGGAGTGGGGGTGGAAGGAAGGAAGGGAGGGGTGGGTGGAAGGAAGGAGGGGAGGAAGTGAGGGGGTGGGTGGGGGCAAGGTAGGAAGGGGGAGAGGGTGGGTGGAAGGGGGAAGGAATGAAAGAAGGTAGGGGTACAAGGGGTTGAAGGGGGGGGGGGGGGGGGGGGGGGGGGAGGGGTTGGGGGGGGGGGGGGGTGGGGGGGGGGGGAAGGAGGGGGGGGGGGGGAAGGAAGGAGAGAGGGGGGGGGAGGAAGGGGGGGGGGGGAATGGGGTTTCAAGGAAGAGGTGAAGGGGGGGAGGGGGGGGGGATTGGGGGGGGGGGGGGGGGGGGGGGAAGGGGTGGGGGGAAGGGGGGGGGGGGGGAAGGGGGTGGGTGGGTGAAAGCAAGGAAGGTATGGAGGGGTGGGTGGAAGGAAGGGAGGGGGCGGTGGAAGGAATGGGGGGAAAAAAAGGGGGGGGGGGGGTGGGGGGGGGGGGGGGGGGTGGAAGGGAGGGAGGGCTGGAAGAAAGGAAGGGGAAGGGGGGGGGGGGGAAGAAAGGATGGAAGGGATGGGTGGAAGGAAGAAAGGAAGGGATGGGGGTGAAAGGAAGGAAGAGAGGGGTGGTTGGAAGGAGGAAGAAAAGGTTGGGTGGAGGGAAGGAATGGAGGGATGGGGGGAAGGGGAAAGGAGAGGTGGCTGGAAGGAAGAAAGGGAGGCATGGGTGGAAGACAGGTAGGAAGGGAGGGGGTGGGAGAAGGAGATGGGGGGGGAGAGTGGCTGAAAGGAAGGGGGGGGGTAGGTGGAAGGGTGCAAAGAAGGGACAGAGGGGTGGGTGGGTGGGTGTAACAGGTTGAGTGGGGGTGTGGAGAGAAGGGAGGGGAGTGGAAGGATGGAAGAAAGGGGGGGGGGGGTGGAAGGAAAAGGTCAGACTCACTATGACTCAATCAGAAGCATCAGAGCTGTTGGTTACTGCGTTCAGTTTCCTGAAACAGGAGGGAGGCAGAGCAGATCCAGCCTCTCTATCCTCCTCTCCTATTGGTGCAGAGGATGGTGGGAGGGGCTGGGGCTGTGAGAAGAACACGGCGGCGGCAGTGGGTGGTGGGCGAACCATCAAGTATGTTCTGTGCAGCGGTGGGGGCAGTGACAAGCAGCGATCTCCTGTATGGCTTTCAGCTAGAAGCCACCTCTCCTCCTCTCTCCCTCCCGTGGCTTCCAGCTGCTTTATTGAAAGCCATACAGAAGAAACGTTGCTTGTCACCACCCTCAACGCCACCCCTCCCACACACACCCCCTAGTCCCGATATTGCTCGCCGCCCCCACCTTATTTCCTCTTGCAGGCGAGTGGTGGATTGAGGGCTGCAGGGATGGTTGGCAACTGTCCTCTGGGGGGGGTTCAGACCCCGCCTTATCTACACCCCTGTCCAACACTACCATCTTTCTAGATAGTTAATGCCACTGTCCAAAGGTCCTTCTCCATTGCTCCCCCATCCAGAGAGTGAAGACACCCTAATATAGGAGATGTGTTGCTTGCCAAATCATCAGGTGAAAATAAAGACAAAAAAAAAAAAAGAAAGTTAATACAGCCAGCACATTTAATATTGGGATTTAATACCACTTTAAGCTTTGTTCACAAAAGCATAAGAACAAGCATTTTCTTGTGTTAGTGAAGAGCTCACTAAACACTTTGAAAAGTCGAAACCTGTTCTGTACAATACATCAACAATGAACAATCTAATACACATATAAAATCCACATTGTCCTTGAGTTACTTTGCTTATGCAAAGGAGTGACTCCAAGTACTATATGTGGGTCACAAATGCCTTATAAAAGCACCTCAGGCATTTGGCGCTTGTTTCTTTTCTTTACAGAGTTAGATAGAATAGTTTAAGAATGGGGGTAGGAGTAGGTTTAGCCTTAATTAGGTATTGACTGGAATTCCACTTGAAATGGTAAATCTGATTTCTTTTTATGAGGAGGTGAGCAAAACCTTGGACAGAGGGGTGGCGGTGGACGTGGTATACTTGGATTTTGCAAATGCGTTTTTGACACAGTTTCCCACACACGGCTAATGTGTAAGGTAAAGTCTACAGGCTTGGAAAAATCCATATGTAAATTGATAGAAAACTGTCTAAAAGATCGTATTCAGAGAGTAGTGGTTAATGATTCATACTCTGAATGGTCTAGGGCAGGGGTAGGCAACCTGAGAGCCGCAGGACTACAAGTCCCATCATGCCTCTGCAAGTCATAGCTGTAACTGTCAGTTTGGTAATGTTGCAATGCCTCATGGGAAATGTAGTTCCACAACAGCTAGAGAGCCGCAGGTTGCCTACCCCTGGTCTAGGGCTGTCAGTGGTGTACCCCAAGGTTCAGTGTTGGGACCCTTACTTTTTAATATATTTATAAACTATATAGGGTCTGGGATTTTAAAATTCCCATTTCAGTCTTTGCAGATGACACCAAGCTGTGCAGTGGAATAATGTCCTTACAGGATGTCTCCAACTTGCAAGTTGACCTCAATGCACTGTTTAATTGGGCAACTATGTGGCAAATGAGGTTTAATGTTGATAAATGTAAGGTTATGCACTTGGGGGCTAAGAATATGCATGCATCATACATACTAGGGGGGTACAACTGGGGGAATCAATGGTGGAGAAGCATCTGGAAGTTATGCTAGATCACAAGCTTAATAATGGCATGCAATACCAAGCTGCGGGTTCTAAAGCGAGCAAAATCCTCTCTTGTATTATAAGAGGTGTAGACTCCAGAGAGAGAGATATAATTTTACCCCTGTACAAATCATTAGTAAGACCTCATCTGGAATATGCAGTTCTGTTTTGGGCATCAATTCACAAAAAGAACATTGGGGAACTGGAGAAAGTACAGAGAAGGGCAACCAAACTGATAAGAGGCATGGAGGAGATCAGCTATGAGGAAAGATTAGAGGAATTAAATTTATTCTCTCTTGAGAAGAGGAAATTAAGGGGGGATATGATCAACATGTATAAATACATCAGAGGTTCATATAGTGAACTCGGTGTAGAGCTATTCACCTTGAGGTCATCACAGAGGACTGCCAGAGGGCCCGGGGTCAGTAGGGGGCCCCATGAGATGCCCCTGGTACCTTTTTCATAGGCTTTTTTTTAGTTTGGGCAAGGACACAGGCTCCCCATGGTCCCCTATTGCCCAGGGGCCCCATGAGTTGTCAGTCCACCCCTGATAAGGACTCACGGTGAAGTTGAATGAGATACTGTTCAATCTTAAACTGCATAAGGGGTTCCTTACTATGAGGACCCATTCACAGGAGCGGACTGATCGGGTCTGCCTGTCTGTTTTTCAAGCACACCTGATTGGACGCTCCATTGCTTTCTATGGAGCAGCGGGTGTAAACGGAATTTACATCCGCTTGCATCCGATCCAATCCTGTCCGCTAAAAAACAGACGGATGGGGATGCGTTCCCCATCCGTCAGGCGGATTGGATGACAGTGGGATGGAAACGGACAACGAGCTGTGCCAGTGTGCTTACATAGTGAAACACACACACACAGCACACAGTTAACCCATTGATCATCCCAGATGTTAACCCCTTCCTGCCCAGTGCCATTAGTACAGTGTCAGTTCTTTTTATTAGCACTGATCACTGTATTCATGTCACTAGGGATGTCAGTGACAGTTAGTTCCCCCCCAGTGTCAGAATGCCCGCCGCAGTCCCGCTATAAGTTGCTGATCGCGGCTATTACTAGTATAAAACAAAATAAAATTCCAATATATATAACGCCATTTGTAGACTCTATAACTTTCATGTAAACCAATTAATTTACATGTATTTGGATTTTTCTTTTTAGCAAAGTCATGTAGTAGCAGAATACATTTTGGCCTAAACTTATGACGAAATTAAATTTTTTAAAATCTTTTACTGGATATTTTAATAGCAAAAAGTCAAAAATATAGTTTTTTTTCTCAAAATTGGCAAAGTAGAGACAGCTCTATTTGTGGGGAAAAAAGGATATAAATTTAATTTGGGTGCAGTGTTGCATGACCAAGCAATTGTCAGTTAAAGTTATGCAGCGCCATATCGCAGAAAATGGCCTGGGCAGGAAGGGGGGGTAAAGCCTCTGGAGAGCAAGTGGTTAAAGTCTTTTAATCCTATAGCCCTGATAGCTCTGCAGAAAGTCACTTTATGTACAACCCCAGTTAACGCATAAAACAGAACACTAGGAAAATAGAAGCATTTAACAAATTATACAGTCATGAGTAGTAAGCTTCAATTATTAAACTGCAACACCAGCAGTAAGAGGGGGAAGAAAAGGCTTGTTGATTTATCAGCTCCCTCTAGGCCACCGGCACTGCAATGAGGGATGCAGAGAACTATGTTAATGTATACTCCAGCATAAATAGATATAAGTACTAATTTGAATAGCAATGGCCTTATTGAAGAGAAGAAGTCCCTTTAACTAGAGATTGCAACATAAGTCTTGTGATGCTTAAAGTTCCAGATATCTGTTGTCTTCTGCTAGCTATGATGGGGCCCATAAACATTAGTGAATACTGGTAATTCAATTCATTTAAACAGATGATACTGCTCAAAGCAAAGATCTGATACTGAGATGTAAAGGTGTCTGCATGCAGTGTCTCTAGAGTGATGACAGAAAGAAATGGGGCATGTACCTGCTCACCAATCCTATGGATAGCATGGCCTCCCAGGAACATGATTCTTGCACAGACTCTTGGCTGTTTGTAAGGATGTGCAGAGTTGCCGCCTGATGGCCTGTCAGCATGGTGAGCGGAGATGTCTGTGTGAAGACCAGATAGTGACAATCCCGATGCAGAGAAACTGATGCGATCCTGGTGTGGCACTTGGCGTCACCACTGTGCTGAACTGATGTGCAGAGTCCCGCAGTAGTAGGCCAACAATCTGTCTCTGGAGGAGAACAGTGGTCCCCCTGTGTTCAGCTCTGAATCAAGAGCCAAGAGTGAGCCAGTTCCTTGCTGTAGAATATATCTTCTCCCCCAGCATCCTTCTCCTTCACCAGCTCTTTGGTGTTCAATCAGCATTCAGGAATACAGGATGTATTGGCTATAAGACTACAGGTTCCAAGATCTGTCAGAAGAACTGGATCCACTCTGCTAACAGGAAGTGATGTAGCAGTCCCAGTACTGGGCACGAGGGGGAAAAGGATTAATCATAGTCTCATCTGTAAATGTCCCAGAAAGGCATAATGATATAGCCAGAACCTGGCTACTTTTGTACCACCAGCCTGCCCATACATAGATTAAAGTCGGTCATACATGGATCAACATTCAGCCAGTTCAGCAGGGACCAGATGAATTTCAAAGAGTATGTAAACCCAACATTTTATATTGATAAGTGCCTGCTGTACCATGCACTTGTATGAAAAAGGTATCTTTGTATTGCTTCCTTTGTGTGAAATCCCTGGTTATCCTGCCAGTCCCTCTGCTTTCCTATGAAAAACTGATCGCACTAGGCATGGGAACACACTGTGGTCAGTTCTTCAGCTGTGCTCTACTCCAATGATTAGACTTGTCCTGACACCCCCCCCCCCCCACCCCCCTCCTTCCTGCACAGCCATTCACTGGGAAATTCAGTGCACTTCTATTTCTCCTCCCCCAGCTCTTATGCAACTGAGAACAGATATGTGATCACATATAAAAAAAAAGAGGGTGATAATGTTTTTTTAAAAATATGTATGCACAAATGTTTTGCCGTTCATTTCTATTGTAAACTGAATGGGTTGTTTTACAAGGTGAGGGGTGCAAAGTCACCATCTGGACACACTGGGTCTATGGAGGTGCGTCAGATCCAGAGGCGGAGTGACAACTCATGGGGCCCCCGGGCAATAGGGGATCATGGGGCCCGTGTCCTTGCCCAAACTCAAAAAAGCCTATGAAAAAGGTACCAGGGGCATCTCATGGGGCCCCCTACTGACCCCGGGCCTTCGGGCAGTGCCCAAGTTTCCAAATGATCAGTCCGCCCCTGGTCAGATCATAAAACAACAATTGAAACAGAACAGCCATTGTTGACCATCTTTTGAAAATGCTGGATGTGTCAATGTCTTACAGGTCAAGTGTATCCAAAACTTTGAATAAGGTGTAAAGTTCTGACTTTGCTTGCTTCGTGCTTGCTCCATAGCAGCCTTTTGGCGTGATAGCCAGGCAAGTGCCATTTTCTGAAAAGAGAGGTCGATAATAGTGGCTTCCGTATTTCCCTCAGTACAGGTTTTTCTTTAGATATGAACAAGCTTGAGGCAATGTGCGGGGATTATGATGTAAATGTTCTGTTTGTCAATGTAAGCTGTTGGAAGGTGTACAATGATTGTGCATACAAAGGAGAAAAAAGCTCTGTATCTTAGTAGGAGGTATTTAAAAGCTGACATATAGGGGGATAAAACTGTCAGTGTCATTCCTGTAGAAAATCAAATATTCAGCTGCAGCAGTTAGAAGAACAAACAGAGAAACTTCCCTATCAATACACCTGTTATACATTACACTGCAGGATTCCAGGCTTACATTCCCATACAGTACGGCTCAATGGAAATAAATGCAGAGACTTCCTGGAGACGCTATTATTATTATTATTACAATTTCATACTGACCATGCAGCTATCTGTTTAGACATTTTGATTGTGTCTGAAAAAATTAACCTTATCTGGGCATTTGCAACAGCCTTCAACCACAAAAAAATAAATAAAAAAGGCAGGTTTGAGAATTTTTGGATTGTTTTCAATAGGCTTGTAGCCAGGGGCAGACTGACAACTCATGGGGCCCCCGGGCAATAGGAGATCATGGGGCCCCTGTGTCCTTGCCCAAACTCAAAAAAGCCTATGAAAAAGGTACCAGGGGCATTTCATGGGGCCCCCTACTGACCCTGGGCCCTCGGGCAGTGCCCGAGTTTCCAAATGGTCAGTCCGCCCCTGCTTGTAGCACACGTGTCCATAAATTTTTAAAAAAATGTGTTTTTGTTTCAATCTTTTACAACACAAAAATCTAATGCTTTTTGTCTGAAAGAATTCCACCGCGCATGTAAAGCTCCGTCAGGCTGTAATTCTAGATTTACAGTGGGTGGCAGGGGCAGCAATAAAACCACAGATCAGCCAAATGTTTGTGGGTGGTTACCTACAAGTTGTTATCTCATAATCGGATTCATGGAAATACGATTCAATGCTGCCGACCGAGGCAAAACAATCAATAATTTTCCTCCCTGGTTGATCTATAGTCGACAACTCAATCGATCAATATACCACATAAACCAACTGTGTCCAGGCTTGGTCAGTCAGTGCCAGCACCAGCCACTGATTTGCAGCCAATAAACATCTGTGCCCCTCAGACCTTTAGACTGCATAATATTACTTTTTTTTAACTTTTATTATTTGGAATAGTTTGTGATGACTGATGAGGAAATGTCTGGCCCTTACATCCACTGGCACTCCTCTGGGTTTACATATTTACGTACGCACTTGACCAGTGTATTGTAGGCAGTGCACCCACCACCTTTAGAGGTGCCAGGATAGGCAGATTTGCTTTGAGCTGCATCCACAAGTGCAAGGAGCACTTCCCAAATCAAGTCCCCAGTATATGCAATGAGTGCACAGTGCATTATAACTGCACACATTAGGGCCCTGAGAGTGGACATTCCATTCAAGCATAAGGAAAGTATTTGGAAGCGTCAGGTAGCTACAGTGAAGGAAATAAGTATTTGATCCCCTACTGATTTTGAATGTTTTCCCACTCACAAAGAAATGATCAGTCTACAAATCGAATGTTTGGTGTATTGTAACACTAAGAGACAGACTAGCAACAAAAAAATTCAAAAGAAATGTATGTTTAACAAATTATGCACTGGTTTGCATGTTCATGAGGGAAATAAGTATTTGATCCCCTTCACAAAACATGACTTAGTACTTGGGGGCAAATCCCCTTGTTGGCAATCACAGGTATAGTGGGCAATACTAATCATTGTGTCCTGCCACCAGGGAAAGCTACCTACGCTTCCCACCAGCAGAACACAATAGTGTGGCATTCCCCCATCAACACACTCACTATTAGTAGAAGGAAAGAAAATTGCATAATCTATGGTCTGCCTAGCAGACTAACACTGGCCTGAGGTCAGGAGGAGGATGACAGATTGACCAGAGTGATGACTTATCAGTTTTGTGTTCCTATAGAGCTTGTTCACGCCATCATTAGAACCCTGGCATAGAACACAGCATGAACTCAGTGCTAATACACCAATAGGGGTGTATCACACTATTTCCTTTTTTTTTTTCTTAAACTTCATTTAAATATCATGCAGTGACAGGAGGGCGGTGGAATGCCTCTCACTACACTGCACTGAAAAGTCATGCATGCCATATTTTTTTCAACACGCACCATTGCAACATGGTGGTGTGAAACAGTCAAGTGAAAGCATTTTGCCTGTCTTGTGATGGGACTACACTGGAATAGATGGCCAACACAGTCCTAGCGCACCTGGGCCCTTACTGTCCAGTCAGCTGGCTACAGGCAGGTCAGCTGTCAAGCTGTATTGCTTAAAGCTATTCTAAAGGTAAAAATTAAAAAAAAAAAACAAACATGTTATTCTTACCTGCTCTGTGCAGTGGTTTGGAGCAGCCCTGATCCTCCTTGCCTTGGGTCTCCCACCAGCACTCCTGGCTCCTTCCCCCTGCCAAGTTCCCCCATAACAAGCCATTTAACACACAGAGCCAGCTTGGCCCTGCCCCCACCTCACTGACCATGATTGACAGCAGCAGAAGCCATTGGTTCCCACTGCTGCCTCTCTGTCCAATGAGAAGGGAGAGAGCC